GATGTCTACCGCAGCAGTAGACGAAACGTTAGGTAGAAATTCTAATGGACCACGGCATTATAGCCCGGAAAAAACTTTTTTGCTAGATTTGACCGGCCGTGAAAGCCTTCATTCTTTATAGACCTGTAATGTCTGAATAAAATTGCGAACTAACCCAAATTGCGGTACTTAAATTTGGTAATGTCTGATTAAAAAGAAAAAGTGTAAACTAGGACATGAAAATATATTACAATACCTATCAGCATGGCTCTACACTTTCGTATTTTTGAGTAATATAAGGAGGTTTTTTTTTTCTAAAAAAGGAGACTATTTAATATCCTATCCAGTGTTATTCACCTCTTGTGAGTGCGCGGGGCCGCTTGAGCAAAAACCGTCCCGGGCCGATTCAAAGTTGCCCATCCGCCCCTGATAGTTACTAAATTTTTGACTTGGGGAATTATCTTTAAAAAAAAACAGACTTTAGAACACTTCACACCTGTCATACTCCATGCGTTTTGCACTCGAACGCTCAAAACCGAACGGGTCAAACTGTAGCCGGAGTACTTCGGAGTAACTCAGGAGCGCTCAAAGGGTGGCACCCGAAAGCAACCTTGAATAGCCGTTTCCACCAATTATTTTAGGGAAGCCTTAGCGATAAGCATTCCTTAAACTAACATTTTTCCATGTGAAAATGTCGTTTTAGGAGATACTGCACTAAATAGATTTAATGGTTAGAATTTTGACTTAATACCAGGGATTTTAAAGCGTGTGTGCAATGATTCCTACTGTACCAAAACCAAATATGCATACATCAAAAATTAGCGCAATCCATATCTGTGATGCAAGCACCCTATTTCAAGGCGAGAAATGACATGCTGCCTACGTCATCACTGATCGCAAACACAAAAGTTTATTATTTATAATTATTTAGTGTTCTAAACTCTTGAAAGGAATACAACTAATCATTCAGAATTTACTGATCAGCGAACGACATAATTTGAATTGCGTACGCGAATAGATCCGAATCAGTTCTGAATCCTTACCGCGAACCCACGGCCGCGAACCATTGCAGCATTTTATTTTATTCCACCTCAAATACTTTCCAAACAGGAAACTAATAATGCTTCTTTTCCAGCCACAAAAATACATTTCTAGCAAGGTACAACTAGTTCATCTGACCAATGTAGACAAATCACCTATTAATAGTTGTCAACGTTTATCAACACTCAACAGTGGACATCGAGACAGCGGTGGTAGCTTGTGTTTTTTTTACCGGCTTTTGTAAAGCGTAAGTTGTTCTATGGTAAGGTTAGTTGTCCTAAAAATTTGGAATGCAGCATTATCGAAGATATGTATTCCAGAAATGCAAATTATAAACCTGTGAATTTGTCAAACCATTCCGGAATAGAAAATTAAAGGTTCTTGTTCAACTCCATAAACACGTTCCAATTACGTAGAAATAGTTCAAAATCGTTCCGGAACCGTTTTTAGTTGAACCGCGAACACAATAAAGGATAACGCATACCTAAAGCCTAGTACTCATAACTGCGAAATTCGCTCTTTTTTGACATTGCTTCGACAATTTGACGTTTAATTCACGCATAAAACGTCAAATTGTCGAAGCAATGTCAAAAAAGTGCGAATTTCGCAGTTATGAGTACACGGCTTAAGCCTAGTACTCATAACTGCGAAATCCGCATTTTTTTGACATTTCTTCGACATTTTGACGTCTGATACACGCATAAAACGTCAAATTATCAACGCAATGTCAAAAAAATGCGAATTTCGCAGTTATGAGTACTAGCACAGCCTCCTATAGTTAACAAGCCATGAAATTGGAAATGACGGCAACGTCGCGTATGGTGCTAATTTGTTATTGGGTTATGTGTTTCTGTGTATTGCTTTCATTGTGTATTGTTGCAATTTAGTATTTTTATGGGCATTATTGACGAAAAAGTGGATAGAAACACACCAATATATTGCCCATATTTAGTTGATACCTGTTCCTTTGTGCTTTGATTGCAAATTTTTAGCAAATGGGTACAGGAGCAAAAATGAAGGTAAGGTAAGGTAAAACAATAAAAACAATATTAATATTTGTCTGCAAGAGCATAGGTCTCGATATATTACCTAAGATATTTAAACTTGTTCCAGATGCCATGAAACTACTGTGTTCCTGGGTGCAAATCGAACTATTAGGAGTTCCTTAAAAACTGAAGAAATGCAAACATTTTTATTTCCAAAAAAATTCTGAAGTGCAAAAAATGTGGATGAAAGCAATACACCAAGATAATTATACCCGAGATTATACAATAACGAAAAATTCTGTGGTGTGTTGTAAACATTTTGAAGAAACCGAAATAATTAGATTTGAAACAAACAAGGATAAAGGCGTAGTTCGAGAGTTCAAACTAAAACGTCCAACTCTTAAAAGTAGGTACCTCTTATTTTCGAAAATCAGCTCAAGTATTTGAATGGACTTGCCTTCCGAAAAAATCCCGAAGAAAGAAAAAGTTAGATTTTCAAAAGACATACTGAAACATAGGTCTATAACACCTTAGACTCTAGAAATATATTCATTTAAATCAGTTATTTACTGTTCTTATTTACACAAATAGTTAAATTATTCATTGAATTACTGTTTTTGGCCCTTTGGTACAATAAATTATGTATTTTTTGTGATTCATATTAATAAAATAAAAAATATATATTTATACCAACAAACACCACCAGCACCACTTGGCGGTAAGATTGCGGTGTTGCCTTTTTAACTTCATGGCTTGTTAAATGTAGGGGGCTGTGGTACTAGGCTTTACATGGGATTTTTGGGCTCTATGGATTTTGCCTATTTCTTGATATGTTGTAGAGGATTTAGGCCCAGTTGTACTTTCTTGGTTCAAAACAGAGTTCAGCTGAAAAACTATTTTGACAGTTAACTTGGCAGTTAACTTCTGGAATATGACGTTACTTTCCATAGTAATTCCACAAGTTAACTTTTTGCTATCTATTGACAGATTAGTTTTATAATACCCGCCCTAAATGGAACGAAATCTTGTTAGTATTACGGTGTTTGCGATATGAGCGTTGAAAGATGAACTTTTTTGCAACTTTTTGTGTGGAGAGTATACGAAATATTGGTGCTACTGGTGCACTCAATGCGGAAAAGTGGTACTTTCATGACCTAAAAAAATGCATGCGGAAAAGTACATTTTTCCGCACGCTCATTTTTTAACAGGGGTGCGATTTTCAAAACCATTCGAGTACATTTCGTACACGAAATTTGACTGCTCCCCATTTAATTTACATTGCTGTCAGTCAAATTTCGTGTACGAAATGTACTCGAATGGTTTCGAAAATCGCACCCCAGGTGTTAGGAAAATGACGTTTTTTTTTGACGTTTTGAGAAAAGATTGTTTTGTTTTGATTTTTTTTTTTAATTTTGTTTGTTTGTGTCGCACTAACTTGAACTAAGCTGTAATAGCTGCTTTCGGGTGCCACCCTTTGAGCGCTCCCGAGTTACTCCGAAGTACTCCAGACAGTTTGAGCCCGTTCGGTTTCAAGCGTTCGAATGCAAAACGCATGGAGTATGACAGGTCACTGACAGGTGTGAAGTGTTCTAGGAGCTTCGCACCCTGCACCCGAAAGCGGCTAATATTTCAGATTATGGCAGTACACCCATATAAAACACTCACAGACGAACGCCCTAAAGCAGGAAGTGCTGCTCTGAACAATACGAACAAAATCGAAATCGCCATTTAGTAATGGACCTCCATCCAAAGAGAGCGAGTTCAGGGTACCTGCTTGATTGTAATCCGAACGCAAAGGAGAACACTCTGAAAGCTAAAACGAACAGGATCTTATCGTTTCGAGCGCGCTCAGAGTTTATAGAGTGTAGCCGAGCTCAATCAACGAGTCAAATTATGAACCTGTGTAGGATGCACCAATGATTTCGGAACAAATAACTTCGAAACTTATGGTTCTTGTCCAACTCCAAGAATAACTTTTTATTTTCCGTGCGTTCGGTATTTTGATCTGAGTTCTCCGAGCTTGAATATACCGTTTGTACTCGGTGTAGGCTTATTCGTGTTCGTTTTTCAAAAAATTTCGGACTCTCTATATACAGCGTTCAACTGCTCTGCCCGCTCGCTGGTCACGTGATTACGGCTCCGCTCAGCACGCTCTGCTCTTTGAGCGAAATACCGAACGCAAGGTTAGTATCGGCAGAACTAGTTCAGAATGGAACCGAAATCGTTTTTAGTTGAACCGCGAACAAAGCAGAACTGTTACGAACTGTAATAAAAATTCGAAATTTACTGACCAGCGAACGACATAATTTGAAATGCGAATAGCTCCAAATCACTTCTGGATCCTCACCGCGAACAAAGTTATTTAGTTTTTTTCGCAGATCACATTCCTTACCAGTTTGGAACTAATTCAGGATGGTCGTGGTAAAGCGCATGGCAAACTATGAACCACTGGCCAGTGCAGCATTTTATGTTACCGCAAACGATTTCGGAAGAGGAAAGTTATAATATTTTTAACACTACACCATTTCAACCTCAATTTCGGAAAAAGTAACTTTTATTTAGGAAAATGTCAAGTCATTTCCGGAAAAACTCGAATCAAATTCAGAAAAAGTAATGGTAATTTCGGAAAAAGTAAAGTTAATTTCGGGAAAAAGTAAATTCAAATTCGGAAAATTAATTCATTCATAGCTTACTTTTGCCGAATTTGAATTTACTTTTTCCGAATTTGAATTTACTTTTTCCGAAATTAACTTTACTTTTTCTGAAATTGATTTGACTTTTTCCGAAAATAACTTTACATTTCCCTAAATAAAAGTTACTTTTTCCGAAATTGAGGTTGAAATGGTGTAGATAAATTCGTTCTGTTCCAAAGCAAATAATAACGGTTCGGATCAAAAAGAGCAAATAAAATAGTGTCAGTCGAGTTCAGTCACTGTTATCTGTCAAGCGAAAAGTCAAATCCCAAATTCGAATTTCGAATTCATCATTTGATATTTGATCTGTCAAAATAGAAGAAAAAAACCACATGGTTAGGGTTGGTATTTAAACATGGATATGGAAAAGCAGGCTGAATCTGAAATACCTGTAGAAACCGAAGAAAAACCCAAAAAGAAATTAGTGAGAACCGTCTTGGATAACTTTTCCAAGTTATCCAATCCCCACGAAAATGTGAGAGTGAAAAGTGCAGCGAATCTTCTCAAATACCTCGTGGAAAACAGTGCAACAGAAGAAGTGAGGTTAGCTAGATTTGTAAAAACAACCAAGGTTTTCATGATTTTTTATTAATTTTAGGGTTCAAATGAGCTAAGTTATGCTTTAAAAAGACTTGTGAGAGGTTTAGGTGCTTCTACGCCCATTGCAAGGGCGGGTTATTATAGTTTATTAGTAGCAATACTACAATCAAAACTCGATGTTCATCCAGATAAAATTTTGGAGATTTCCAAGACAGAACTGCACAAATCTGGAAAAAATAGCGATGGTGTAAGCAATTTTCTATTTTTATGTTTGCAATAGTTTAATCTTATGATATTCTTCTAAAAGGAAAATGCTGATATTTACACAGGACAGATTTTGGCATGTGGTGCTATCATCAAAGCAAACTTATGGAATAACATAGGAGTAGAAAATAAAAAAGAAATATTGCAGATTCTTTTAAATGCCTGCAAGGAGAGAAGCTATTTAGGGTTATTTGGATACAGCTTTATTGTAGAACTTTTGAATTTGGTAAGGAAATTTAAATTTTTGTAACAAGCAATTTATGTTCTCTTTAAAAAATATTGTTCAATATATTGGAGCAAAGTTTGATTTTTCTCATGATATAGTATTCGCAAAATTTCACCTATTTATCACCCTGTGACTCAAAGTTAGTACGTTTAGGACATACGTTCATATCGAGTTTCTTCTTAAAATGCATCCAAAAATCGCCACTTTAAATATATTCAATTAAAGAACATCCTGTATTGCATTATACAGGGTTGTCATTATGTTTGGACACATTCTACATAGTGCATCTATGCCAATTTTCATTAAAACATCTACAGAAATGATTTATTTTTGAAATCGCCTTGTATCTCAAAAATTAAGAGGTTTAGCACATAGGCTCATATGAAGTTAACTTCTTAAAATGGACCCGAAAATCTCCTCCTCTAATATTGCAATTGAATCAGAAAACACTCTCTGTATAATGTTATTCCTGTGAATTAAATAATGACAAAGAACTAAAATTCTCTAAAAAACCGTTCTAGGTACCTGAAATTGGGACAGATTCAGAATTCATAATGCAAATTCAAAACGAAGTGGCAAAACCATGGGCCGAACAAACTTTGGATTCACTCTATTTGTTAATAAAACTCAGATCAGCCAGTCCTAAAATTTTCAATAAGAAATTTGTAAAAAAATCTTTGGAAACACCTGAAATAATTTGCGAAGAAAGCTTGGAAAATTTATGCAATATCCTTATGGTGAGTCTCAAAGCTATTTTGAAATATTTAAATAATAATAAATATAATTTTAGACAATTCCAAGAGTAACATCATTAAAACATCCAATTTATGATGTCATAGTAGATTATCTAAATCCTACTATACTGCCAAGTTTCTTCAATGAACTAGACAATCACTTGAAAACTCCTAACCGTAACCGGCTTCTAGTATTCATAAAAATATTAACCAACACCTTAATGCAAACTATAAAATCTGAAGAATATTTTAGTCAAATAGCAGCATTATTCACAAGAAACTTCATAATACAACTACTTGGATATTTTAGAACATTCAAAGGCAAACAGAAAGACAAAGAATATCATGATGCCATACAAAAACTATTCACAAAACTGGTAGAACTTTTCAACAAAGAAACTATAAAATCAACAGTTAAAATTGCAATAATCAAAAAACTGCTATTTGATCCAGGAACTTTTGTCTTTGAAAAAGTAACTAAAAGCAAAGTAGTTCAGCAAATAACTTTAAGTTTAGACTCACAAGGAGTGAACGATTTAGCCTTAGTCTATCGAGGGGTTGCCGATGGAACTGAAACCATTAATTCTGAAAACGAAAGTGAAACTTGGCTGAATAATGACAGGCTATACAGTGCTCATTTGCTCATTAAATTGCTGAGTTTACCTGCTATGAGACAAGAAAGCGATTGGAAAGTTGATCAGTTGAGGTTTTTGATGGAAATTTCATTGCTCAGGCAATCGAGTGGGATGAATGTTGGAAGAGAATTGGCAGGTGAGTTCAGTAATAATTATTGAAATAGCTATTTACCTAACAAGTGCGGAAAATGAACTCCGCTACGCGTCATTTGGTGAACGGCAGCCGCGTGCGGAAAAACATTTTCCGCAAGTGTTAGGTACAAAATTTTTCCTACAGGCGTAAAAATTTTTCTTTTTTTTTTTTTGACATATCAGTGCGGTAAAATTTTTTCCGCCCTGACAGCCATGTGGAAAAACTTTTTCCGGTGCGGGAAAACTCATTTTCCCAACGCATATCAGTGCGGAAAATCGATTTTTCCGCACGGCTATAGGAAATAGTATATTACAATTCGAGACAGAATATGCTTCATTGCTGGTCAAGAGGTTATATAGTTAAACCTCATAGAGCAATGAAGTTTTCCGTCGAGGTTTGTATAGTATTTTATTTTCAACCCTCAATTTCTGAGGCAAAATAGTTTATAGTACGAAATAATGGTGTGAATTGGCCTTAGAAAAAATCGGCTTTCACTTTTTTTTGTCAATGTCATCAATTTTGACAAAAAAACAAGTAGGGAAATCGGGATGGAATCGCATTTTTCCGTCCGTGGCAGGCACATACATTACTGACCTGGAAAAATGTAAAACTACAGAAATGTGACACTTTCAAGATTTTAAAAAGTCTGTAATGTCAACATTACATATTTGGTTGAAAATAAACAAATTTATTTTTAACAAATGTGAAATGGAGCAGGGAAATATTTCCGGTCTTCATTCCCCGTCCTCATTTCCCTACCTCATTTATTTGGTTGTCAGGAATTTATCTATTTTTTATCAAGAAATTATGGTTAAAAATAAAATAGTATACAAACCTCGACGGGAAACTTCATTGCTGTCTCGAGGTTCAGTTTATCTCCACGCTACACGTCTTGATAAATTATATAACCTCTCGATCAGCAATGAAGCATTTCCTGTCTTGGATTGTAATATACTATTTTTTTTTCATATTTTATTAGTGCATTAAAATTATATTATTTATTATTTCCAGAATCCTTAAAAACAGCATTCTTTGGCGCTCTAGACCTAAAACTATCAAAACTAGAAGACTTGCACTTGATCCTGTTCAAACTGGTACAATCATTGGATGAAAAGATTAACACTGAAAACCTGGAAATCCTTTTGAGAACGCCAGTCACTAACGAAACATATGAGTTGTGGCAGAAAACCCTCAAAACCGTAAAGAAAATTGAGAAAAAGCAAAAAAAGAGCGGCATAACTTCGGTATTTTTAACATTATTTTTACACATGGGTCTACAATTGTTCAACGATGTCAAATTGGCTACAGATTCTTTAAATGAATTGTTTAGTTGTTATGAAAGAGTGAAAAAAGATAAGAAAGCCAAACACGCCTTGGATAATACAGTCCTAGAAAAATCCCTTGTAGAATCCGAAGATGATCCTTATTGGGTTGAAGTAGTAGTTGATTTATTTTTGAATCTTCTATCCCACAATTCACATCTTTTGCGAAGCATTATCAGTAGTGTCTTTCCTCATTTATGCAAATATATGACTTCTAGTACAATTAGTCAAATATTAAGCGTTTTAGATTCTAAAGACGATGAAAATCCTTTGTCCAAAAATGATGATGCAAGTTCTGAATCAGAGGATGATGAACAGGATGAATCAGGTTCTGAGGAGGAGTCTGACCAAGAAGAAAATGGTGAAGATGTTGAAGCAGAAGAAGATGATGATGATGATGATGAATCTGATGATGACACAGCTAGAGGGAAACTAAGAATGGCTCTACACCAAGCTTTATCAAACGGTACAAATGAATCAGATGATGAAAGTATAGATTTGGATCAAATGAGTGATACAGAAGGTGAAAAACTTGACAAGGCCCTTGCAGAAGCTTTCAGACAATTTAGACCAAATCATGGTAAAAGAAAGAAGCAAACTAAAGACCAAGAAACTTTAACACATTTCAGAGTAAGGGTACTGGATTTAATTGAAATTTATTTAGACTCGAACCCATCTATGCTACTAGCTTTGGAAATTATGTTGCCTCTACTTCAAGCAGTTGAATTTAGTATTAGAGACGAACATCAAAAACCATTAAATGATAGATTAAAAAGTATTCTGAAGAAATTGTTGGGTTTGAAAAAGTTTACTGATATTGAAGGTGTTACTGATGGTGTTTTAGTTGATTTGTTGAAAAGTCTGTTAGATAAAGGCAATAAAAACGTTTTGATAGTCCAAGAAATGGGAGAGCAAATTTCAGATTGTTGCATTTTTGTTGTAAAATGTTCAGACATGCTAAGAAATGTTGAAGCGACTCCATCAAAAACTAAAAAGCATTTAAAAAATAAAATTTTGGAAGTTATTTGTGGGGAATTGCATCAGTTTTTCACTCAGAGGGACTCGATGACTCCCTATGTACTTTTTAAAAGTCTTTTGCAACTTACCTGGGAAGGAAATATGGGCTTGGCAAGTATTTTATTAGATTTCACGTTTAGTTCTGAAATAAGACAATTCAAGAAAAACCAAGTGACGGAATTGTTGAAAATCTTTTATTCAAATCAAAGATTTTTTAGTCAATTTAAGAAAAAAGTTGATAGTAAAATGGTGGAAGCACACAAGACATTTTCTTCTAATGTAATAAATTTTTTTAAAGAATTATGTGAAGAACCTGATAAGAGACACATTAAAGAAAGATTTATTTGTAATTTTTTCACTTTACTTAGCGCCATGAAAAATAGCCCAATGGAGCAAAACAATATTTCTTGGTCAGAAATTGCTACAAATATTCGAGAATACCGAAGTTTTAAGTCATTTTCCAAAGACGCAAAAATGGCTTTCAATAAACTATGCAGAGTTTTAAAAGTTTCAAATATTGTTGCCATGAAGCAAAATGTCACTAAACTTGCTACACTGATTGACAATGAAGATGAAGTAGTTTCAAAGGATGAAGAGAACCAACCCAAAAAGAAACAGAAAAGGAAAAGTAATGAGACATTAAAATTGAAAAAAGAGGCTAAAGAATTGAGATTGAATAGTCTTAGTAAAGGGTTGGGGCAAGTTGATTTTGAGGAAGCTGTGGAAATAAATATTTCTGATATTGATAGTTCTGCAGAGGAATCGAATAAAACAGTCAAAGATGGGTCAGATGAAGAGCAGAGTAGCCATTCAACAAAGAAGAAAAAGAAAAGGAAAACTAGTGAGCAAATAGATGGCAAAAACATACAAATAAATGGATCAATGGAAGAATCAAAGCAACAAGAAGGTGATTCTGCAAACAAAAAGAAGAAGAGGAAAATGAGCGAGCAAATAAATGGTGAACATATTAAATTGAATAATTCAGAATTAAATAATGAACAAGAAAGTTACTCTACAAAGAAAAAGAAGAAAAGCAAAACTAGTGAGCAAACAAATGGGGATAATGTCCAAGTAAATGGTTTACCAGAAAAACCTATAAAAAATAAAAAATTGTTGAAAGATGGCCTAAATATGTCTGTTAATGATGCAAACCTAAATAAAAAGAAGAGAGTATCAGAAGGGGAGAGTTTTAAGGGAAGAAGAAAGAGTATAATGTGAATATTTTTATTTTTAGTTTTTTTTTCAATAAATTTGACATTGAATATAATTGTTTTTTATATTTTTATTTCATCAATGACTCAGGTTCAGTGTAAAGTGGCATTTGAGCAAAGTTTTCTCACAAAGTTTTTCCGGTTCGAGAATAAATGTTTTCGCTTAGATTTCCAAAGTACATTTTCTATGAAAGTTGAGTCCATCGATAAGATTATTTAGTGAAATGGATTATAGTTATGTAAACTAATTTTAATAATGCCTCAGAAGTGCGTGCGTTTTAGAAATAAAGTTTTTTTTTCTGTGACGGGAAAAAAGTAGACTTTTTGTACCTGTTGACAGGGGCAAAAATGTCACTTTTCTCCCATGGGAAAAAAGTGATTATTTTTTTCCCGCGGGAAAAAAGTAACAGGTACCAGTCAATTTTTTTTCCCGTGGGAAAAAAGTAACAGGTACCAGTCAAATTTTTTTCTCAAAGGGAATAATTTATAGATGGAAAATGTTGAGATTTTTCCGTCACAGAAAAAAATAGTGTATTATACATGGGAAAAAAGTAAGATTTTAGCGCTCGCTGTGCACACCTCGCGCTAAAATCTAGTACTTTTTTCCCTTTTATAATAAATAACTATTTTTCTGTGACGGGAAAAAAGTAGAATTTTTGTACCTGTTGACAGGGGCAAAAATGTCACTTTTTCTCCCATGAGAAAAAAGTGATTTTTTTTTCCCACAGGAAAAAAGTAACAGGTACCAGTCAATTTTTTTCCCGTGGGAAAAAAGTAACAGGTACCAGTCAATTTTTTTTCCCGTGGGAAAAAAGTAACAGGTACCAGTCAATTTTTTTTTCAAAGGGAATAATGTATAGATGGAAAATGTTGAGATTTTCCTGTCACAGAAAAAAATAGTGTATTATGTATACATGGGAAAAAAGTAAGATTTTAGCGCTCACTGTGTTGTCTGTCGAGCTAAAATCTAGTACTTTTTTCCCTTGTATAATAAATAACTATTGTTTTTTTGTTTATTTTTAAGCAACAAATAGCCTGGTAAAATTTCAGGTAATTCTGTCGCAATTTTTTTTTATTTATGGAGGTCAGTGACGTTCGTGGTTCGCCTGAAATGGTTTTTATATTTTATCTCGAAAACAAAGCAGTATATGAAAAAAAATTAAGAGACAAAAAAGTTGTATCTTTAAGTGTTCTATTCAAAAAACATATCCTTATTAAAAATAAATCTACTGGACTATGTTTTTAGTGCAAAAAAAACCATCCGACAGAACCTGTGGCACGTCCCTGGAATTACTGGGTCAACTCTGAGCAACAAAAGATACCTTATAAAGGTGAAAACAAACTATGAAAATTTCATTTAATTCGTCCAACGCATTTCTGGGAATTAATAAAAAAAATTGGCTTTTTTTTACAAAGTTTAACACCCTGTTTCTGGAAAGCGAAACATTTCCGGACATATGTTTATCAGAAAAAAAACTTAATTTTTATGAGATCTACCATCCCTAGAAGTTTGTAACAAACCTTTCGTGACACCCTGTATACAAAAAAAAGGAAACATTAACACTTCCAAGGGTACTTTCAACGTGAAGGAATGCTGGTAGTTACATACAGTTAAATAAACAGATTTTTTTTTTTACACAAACTTTATTCAATAAAAACACAAATAATAAGCTTTACATCCACATGGTGAAACGATAACAAAAATGCATACAAAAATAATATCGATTTAAACAAATTGGCGTTAAATAGAACTTTGATTTCATCCATTACTAAATTACTTCAATATTTGGTTCTTTGACGCCAATTTGTTACTGAAGTTTTTAGCAATTTAAAAAATGCTCATCTTGTGCGCTAAAAATTAACTAATTAAATGCAGGAAAGCAAAGAATTTCAAATTCTTATGTCCATCATTATTCAAGTACGGTATAAATAGCTAAAAATATCTTATATAAAACTAAAGGTAATACAAATGCAAATAAGTAGTAGGTATGATAGTTATTTATGTATCAAGGGAATTATGAGGGTGTTAATACCCCAGGGCAACGTTTGTGTCCCGAAGGCCTCTGGCCCGAGGCACACCAATTGCCCGTGGTTATTAACACCTGATAATTCCCGTGGTACATAGATAATTTTATATCCTACTGAATTTACTGTATTTTGTCTATTTTTATAAAGTTTACAAAGTTTTACCTATTCAAGGTAAAAGCGGGAGTTATGAAAATCCTTAACTCCCTTGGGAGTTAAGACCCTGTTTATGATTATCGTAACCAAGGTATTATATGGTTATAATAGTTCAGTAGGATATAAAATTATATTTCATACAGCAGGTATCATGAAAAATTTACAACATTCTTTCATATATATTTTCTCCTGTGCCTTCTTTAGGATAAAATATATTTGAATGTCAAAACTTGTACCGCTATCTTGAGAAACTTTCCAAAGAATGCCCTTATTTCAAAGCAAATACATTTTTTTTTTTTGACTAGCATAAGGAACCCTACATAAAAAATTCCACCCTGCATATTTCGTCAATTTTAATTCATGGAAAATTTGATTTAACAATAATTAATATCTAAACTACAGCCACTACATTATGGCAGTGACATATTACAGGATGTTTCTTCATTTTGCTAATATTAATAATTTCAAGACAACATCCTGTATATTTGGTGTGGATTGTATTTGTTCAGCATCACACATTATCTTATAAAAATACGTTTCTCCTAGATATAGAGAAAAGGCCTAGAATTTTTGAAAGATTATTATTGTTTTCAATAAATTGTTTATTTTAACACACCACGCACCCCAAATCAGATCACAATTACTAAAAAAAAAAATTTGAAAGGACACACTGTATTAATATATAAAATCTAATCAATACACATGCTAAATGGAAGGTGCAAACACACAATACATTGAATTTTATTTTTTTTGGAGTAGAAAAATAAAATTTTACAGATTTCCAAAGCCTCTATTATTATCAGATCTAAATGAAATAGTGCTAATCATTGAAGACCGATTGAGTTTTTTTCGAAATTAAATTTTAGGACTTTTTTGGAAAGCAAAAGCGAAGAATTATGAACCTGAGGAAAATGGTTAAAACCGACCTGAGAGTTTGTACTAAATTGTAAAAAATATAGTTCATACCAAATAAACTTGTAGTTGTGACATCGATGACGCCATTTTTAAAATCGTTATGGCCAACCGTGAAATTATTCGGCGTCGGATTGACTTAATTGGAATTTGAATTTCCCGCTGGTCATTCAGTTGGTAACACCACTTCAAAAAATGTAATGTTGCCAAATGAAATTCTTGACATTTTGAATTTTGATTGCGTTTTGGCAGTTTACGAGTTGTTGGTTTGAGTGCTATTTATTGTGAGCTAGTTTTTCAAAAACAGGTTGTAGTGCGAAGTGTACAAGATGCCGAAGCAGCTTAACAGCCGTTGCAAAGAACTAATCGCATCCTTGTTAGAATATTTCGAACGAGAACGCGATAATAATGGCCCTTTATGTCCCTTAAATGCTGTTAGGAAGGTGAGTTCACAAGTCGTTGATGTCGTGTGACCAAATAGGAATTTCCAATTTGAACTTTATTTTCTCTCATTTTTAGCGCGTAGCAGAGGCTTTGAACTTAAGTATGTCCACTGTCTGTGCTATTTCAAAGGCAATCAAAAATAACGAAGTTTTGGAATCGCCTTCTAAGAAACAATACACTTCAAAGAGAGTCTGTGATGTTTCAAAGCTCGATAGCAGTGCTATACGATGGAACTTCCTGATATTGCTGTTAAACGCATATCATTTTTGAGGTCTTATCTAAGACAAACAGGAGGCTTTGTAGAGCTTTGTACCAGTTTGTTTTCTTGGACGAGACTTGAATGTTTCAAAATGGTACCATTAATCGCTCTTGGCAAGACAATAACAAGCGACGTGTTAAAACTACGAAAGTTGATGGTAAAAGGTGAATATAAACATGAATACAGAGAGCAGTTATATTAGATGTACAAATTAAATGCTTTTTTTAGATATATCATACTTCATGCTGGCAATGAAAATGGATTGATTGAAGGTGCATCGCTCGTATTTTCATCGAAAACTCAACTTAACGACTATCATGTGGAAATGAATCAGCAAAACTTTGTACGTTGGTTCGAAAATCAGCTGCTGAAGAACTTGACTGAACCATCTGTCATTGTTATAGGCAATGCTCCTTAGCACAGCATGTTATTAACGAAGACACCTAATAGTTCGTCTTCCAAGGCTGAAATTCAAAATTGGTTAACCGAACAAAAAGTTGAGTATCCAAATACAGCATTGAAATCTGAACTTGTTACCATTGTTGCAAGGTAAGTACCTACAATACCAAAATTGTATGCATTTTATGCTCAACTTTTCAAGTATTGATTTTTCAGGAATAAACCAACAAAAAAGTATGTGGTAGATGACTTGGCAGAACAGTATGGATATAAAGTTTTACGACTACCTCCATGCCACTGCACTTTTAACCCGATTGAATTTATTTGGGGAATTGCAAAAAACTATTATAACCGACATATTGGCAGAGATGGTTATACTTAAGATGCTTGTTCAAAAATGTGGCGAGAGGCACTGGAAACTGTTACCCCTGAAATGTGGAAATAATTGACGAGTGGTATAACAGGGAACAAGTAATGGACAGGCAAGAGGTTCTTCCACTTTTTATCAATGTTGATGAAAACTAGCGATTCTAGCGATTTCAGTGATCCAGGATAATTGAAAATATTTTTGATGGTTCAAATATTCATATTATTTAATTATTTAGAGTGGCTGTAAATAAAATGGGTACTGATTATATTTTATGTGATGATTGACAAATGAGTTGTTATTAAATATCTATTAAACCAAGCTTTGAAACAATGTTTATAATTCAAGTAATAAATGTTTGCATTATATTATAATATAATCCATTATTTTTTCTGAAAATATTTTGACCAAAGGAAAATATGCAAGAGACGGCAACGCTGTGCCGGTCGAACTTGACAACCCAACTATAAGTTTATTTGGTATGAACTATACTACTGAAACTATAGTAATTGCAATACTAGATCCTGTATGAATTTGAGAAAACAAAATGCCAATTTTTTTTTTATATTAAAAGTCACATCGCGGTAAATGCTAAATCCATTGTCCGTTAATAAAATTTTAATTGTTTCAGAAACTATTTATGAAACAATGAAAACCTGCCTTGCACTCAAAAAAAAAGTAGGTATTTTGATTTTAAACTCTTGCATCAAAATATCTACTCGGAAATACAATATTAGAAATTTTATTTTACTGGGGCGACAGTGTTGTTCTGTGTGGCCCCTGGAATTTTACCAAGTACTTTTGACAAGTTGACTCCTGTCAAAGCACTTACAGCTGGCGGTATCTGACTGACTAATCTTGTAATTTCGCCGGTCATATTGTCTTGGCCACCAATGAGGACGATTTCGTCTGTCTTTGCTAGTGGAGCAGCAACTTCTGCAGCAATCTATAAAGGAACAATGCAAGATTATATTCAAGAGTTTGTGATCAGAACTACATAGTTTAAGCACAAATAAAACCCCTGGTTCAGTAAATTTTGGACATTAGTAGTTAGCAGAACGAATTTAAATCACTAGTTGGCAGTATAACAAGGCTAAGATGATAAATAACTGCAATTAAGTGCGACCTTTGTCTCAAATATGGGTAATATTCATGGCTTGTTACGGGTCTATTTGCCAAGAAAATATCTGATTTAATTTTCTTTAGGAAATATATTATAATTCTAATGAAATGTTTAAATGCTATTTAAAATTATTTTGTCCATCCTATAAATAAACCAAAAATACCAGTCCGTACGGTCAAGCCAAAATCAACACTTTTGGGGTACCTAACTAATTGTATTACAGAAAAAAAAAAGGTGAATACTACGATGTTCATTCCTCAAGCAGTCAGTACTGTAGCCTCCTTTGCAGTGTGCGTTATTTGAGGTACGGTACTCTCAGGCGTTTTGCCGATTTACGTTGGAATTTATTCCGAATTTTGATTGTGGGTGGCTAATTTCACTATTTTAGCACCCCGAGCAATTCTTTTTGCTGATTTACTCAAAGTTTCGGGTTTAAAACTTAAATTCCTTGAGTTCTTTTTTTTTACTGGATTTACACACAAAATGGCCGCCTGAAATCACTGGTAAGTGTGCATTTTTATTCTGGAATTTTCTATAATGACGGAATTCGTTTGAATTAGTACCCGATACATTCCAAATTCTCTTTCTAGGCCTGTCTGTTGTTTTTATCTTCCATTATTGATTCCCCCTCTAAACTTCCAATCCATGGTTTGGACAAAGTTTGGTTTGGCATACCATTTCGAGAGAATTCGATGTCCCGTAACTTCTGGTCCGGTGACGCAATCACGACGCCGACAACTCCACGACGCGTGAGCCCACGCCTTCTCGCCTTCCTGATATCTCTCGTAGCTAAATAACCCGACGCTACCAACTCCAGGATATCCAGGTGGGTTCGTTCTAATTTATCTTAACCGTCCCAGGCTCGAAAAGCCCTTCGTACATACGCGGAATCGACCTAAACACCCTGAAAAGCCAAATCACTAGTACATGAATCATCTATATTTGAATCTTAATCAAATAAATCAAGTAATTAGTTATATATATTTTACCTTAATTAAGTAATTAGTTATTAATTTTCCTTATAGATAGTTCAACCGTGTTAGCCGAAGCATATATGCAAAGGACGTTGCGTTGGTACCTTTTTGTTTCTGTTTTATTTAGTTAGAGAGTATTCAACAATTCCACCTAATTTACTTAAATTGATTTGAATAATACCGATTTGATAATACTAATTACCTATAGGTACTGAAAATATCTAAATCAAGTACTTACAATGAATCTCGGCAAACTTGAATAAAATGCCCCTTTATTATTTACGACAGAGTTTGATTTCCAAATTGGGTGAAATCCTTTAGGTTTCCCGTTTTAGATGTTTTTTTTCAGCTAACGTTCTACCTTACTTTAGGGCCATAAAACGGGTGGCGTCCAAAATTTTACCTATTTTCTAGAGTTTTCTTCTGTTTTAACCCTCGACCACTCCCGACTGGAGTTTAGCTGGCACTCTCAGCCCTATAAGGTAGAAACTAAGTTCCTTTTCTTAAGCCCATTTGCGTAACCACCCTCATTCCGGTCATTTCCGTTTTGCTACCAGAAAAAAAATGTAGCAGGCTTCGGATTTGAACAACCCAAACTAAACATATTTTTAATGTAACAATCATTACCGATTTCCGCCAATTGAGAACAAAATATTACCTTATTGCATTGATTAATAAAAAAGTTATTATTACCTTAGGCAAGGCCTCCAATACAAGACTCATAATAGCAGCATCCCCGTATTGTTTATAAACGTTAGCTTTCATTCTCATTCGTTCTGCATCAGCTTTACCAATGCTGCCAATAGCTGAAGCTTCAGCCATACCAATAAGTTTGATTCTTTCACTTTCGGCATGAGCCTTCTGGATGGTCTGAGTACTAAAAATTAAATTATTAGGTATTTATGTGAAAAATAAATTATAATTTTTTTACCCTCTTCCTTCAGCCAACATTTGCATCTTGTAGCTCTCAGCCTCGGCGGGCAGTTTCACAGTGGCGTTCAATTCTTTTTCCTTTCTCATAACTTCCTGGGTTTCGATTTCGATTTGTTTTCTTCTCTCCACTACCTCGATTTGAATTTCTTCGTTTCGAATTTTCTGTCGGATTTTGGCCGCTTGAAGCTCATAGGCCAATTGAGCTTGGGCTTTCTGAAATCGGATAAGTTGCTTTTGGGAAAAAAACAAAATCGTATAAACTTACCGCTGTGTTAACTTCCTGATTGAAATTGGCCTTTTGTAGTTTGAACATCCTCGAGTTATCTTCAATTTTCGTATCGGTGGAGTATTTGATGTCCATCGACGATTTCATACATTCAGCTTCCTAAACAATCATTGTTTTTAACAATAATTATTCCTAAGTTAGAACAGATTCTTACCCTGATGCCGGCGTCTCTGTTAGCTTCTGCTACTCCTGCGTCCGCGTCCCTTTTTACACTGGCCGTTTGGGCTTTGCCCAGCGACGTCAAATACTGGACGTTGTCATAAACGTCCTTTATGGTGAAAGACAAAATTTCGATGCCCATGCGGCCCACGTCCGGTGCCGCTACTTCCCTCACTAAGGCAGCGAATTGGTCCCTGTCCCTGTACACTTCTTCTACTGTAAGAGTTCCTGAAAGAAAAAGGTAGATGTTAGCTTATGATCAAGGACAGTATTTTGGAATTAATAGTAAAAAATCCCGGCACATCACGTTCTTAAATTTTTTGAATATACCAAAATATAACCAAATAAGCGTTAGTCATCTGGTTTACAGTTAATCTAAAACTTTTAAAACAGCACCACTATCACTTTTAAAACAGTACCACTATGACTGACACACAAAAAAAACTAAATGGTCTACAAAAGATAAAAAGTAAAAACACATTACTGGCTCAATAAGCTCTGCCTAAACTTCACACACTTTTCTTTTCCTAACGACTTCGTAAACATATCAGAACAGTTATCATTGGAACAGATGTAAATAATTCCTATTATCTTTTTCTGATAAAGGTCTTTAATGAAATGATACTTAATTTCTATGTGTTTACCTCGCTTGGAGTTCTCAAAGTTTTTAATCACGGAAATAGCACTTTGATTGTCTATTTTCAAAGTAACAGGTTTGCACTCGCCAAAGTCTGCTAAAATACCTCTCAAATTGACCACCTCCTGAGCTGCGCAACCAGCTGCTATATACTCAGCCTTCATTGAAGAAAGGGCTACACAACTCTGCTTTCGTGAGTGCCAAGCTATTGGATTCCCGTCATGGAAACATATGAAACCACTTACGCTCTTCCTTGTCTGCCTATCACCAGCCCAATATCTGCATCACACATAGCTTCTAAGCCTCTATCATTTTTCCTATACATCAATCCATAGTTCTTAGTTCCATTAAGGTAGCGCATAATCCTTTTTCCAGCTTTCCATGCTTGTATTGTTGGCTTGTCCAGGTATCGGTTTAAGTAACAAACAATATAAGCGATATCTGGTCTTGTCACCAACGCCAAGTACATCAGACTAAAAATCAGCCTTCTATACAGGATATTTTCTTCTATAGGTTGTCCTTCATCCATGTGGAAATTTACTTCCATCGGTGTTGCTATGGGTCTACTATTTTCCATAACGAACTCTTTCAATAGTCGTGTGATCATTTTTGTCTGGGTAATCGTGATACCTCCTTCATTTTTATTTATCTCCATTCCCAAAAATGTCCCCACTTCAGTTATATTCTTAACCTTGAATTCATTATACAAACTGTCCACTAATTTGTCCACTTTTTCTTTTGGTCCTGTTATCAATGCATCGTCCACAAACAACACCAAATAAACATCGTCTTTAACATACAAACAATAGTCATATTGTGATCTTCTAAAATTTAATCTCAACATTACTTCACTGAACTTCATGTTCCAACACTTCGGTGCGTTATGCAGTCCATACAATGCCCGGTTAAGTTTTAAATACTTTGAGTCGCTTCTGAGTCCCTCTGGCCTCTTGATATACACTTCACTGTCCAATTGACCATTTAGGAACGCGGTTGGCACATCTATCTGGCTAAGTACCCAGTCTTTTTGCACTGAAACTGAAATTAAAAGTCTAATTGTAGGAAGTCTGCACACTGGTGCATAAATAAACTCTTCGCGCTCTTGTGGTACCTGAAAACCCCTTGCTACAAGTCTCGCTTTCTTCGTGCCGTCCTCTTTCACCCTCAAAAACAATCTCGTATTAATTGCTTTTTGTCCTTCAGGAAATTCGGTTGGCGTCCAGATATGTAATTTTTCATGAGATTTCAACTCATTGTTTATTACTTTTATGCTTTTAGCCACTCTTCAGATTCACTGGCTTCTTGATATGTCTTTGGCTCTTCCTGATTCTCTGAGAGCAAACAATATGCCACATACAGCTCATAATCATCCAAGTTTTTAGGCTTTCTTGTATTTCTTCTAGATCTAGTACTGTACAATCTCTCGCTGGCATATATTCAGGATCACTTGAGCTTCCATTGCTTTCATCTAAACTTTCATATTCTATATCTTCATCTTCCGCAATTTGTCTCTCTTCTTGAGTATTCTCTGTCTCATTCGAATTTCTATATTCTTCTACTGTTATAGGTATATAATTATTTTCCTGTTTCTCTACATTCTTGAATTCCATAATAGACTCATCAAACCTAACATCTCTTGATCGAATGATTCTTTCTTCTGTAGGTGACCATATTCTGAAGCCTCCTCCACAGTATCCCATCATCACTGCTTTTACTACTTTTGGATTTATCTTGTTTCTTTTTGGTAACACTATATACCATGCTCGACAACCGGAAATTCTTAATTTGGTCAAATCATTTCTTCCGTGCCAAATCTGTGATGGTTCGTTCCTTTTGGTAAAACTGATGTCGGGGTTCTGTTGAGTTCATATGCAGAACACTTCACAGCTTGTCTCCATAGTGATTTTGGAATGCCAGAAGCAATTATTTTTGTTGTTATCATATTTAACAAAGTTCTGTTCATCCTTTCAGATTTACCGTTCATCTGAGGACTGTAGGCCATTGTATATTCTAATTTAATTCCCTTTTGTCTGCAAAAATCTTTAAAACTTCTTGATGTAAACTCTGCTTCATTATCTAGGTAGTCTGAAACGTTTTACTCTAAGATAATGCTGTGTCTCTAACTCGAGTACATAATCTCTCAGATTTCCTTCTGCTTCATGTTTATTCTCAAGTAACTTCACAATAACAAAAGGCGAGTAATCATCAAGAATCACTTGAAAATATATTTCTCCATTTACTGTGTTAGGTGTCACAGGTCCACATAGATCACTATGAATCAATTCACCTATAGCTGTTGTACGTATCTCATTGGTTACAAATGGAGAACGTGTGGCTTTCCCTTCAACACAAGTTGAACAGATTCTGTCTGAAGTTTTCAAACCTAGCTGTGACAGAACATCTTTACTTGCATGTCCGAGTCTTCTGTGCCATATATCATCATCTATGGTTAGATTACATTCTTCATTTGCCCTATTAATGCTATCTAGCGTAAATATATACAATCTGTTTCTTTTCTGGCACTTTGAAGCAAAATTTTTACCTCTAAAATCTGTTGTCCTCTAGATGTTATTTTTGATGCTGACATCAAGTTATACTTTATTTTTGGTACAATCAAAGCCTCAATATAAACAGTTTGCCCTTGACAACTTGCTTTTAACTTTCCGACCTTGTTTGTCTTCAAAACTTCTCCGTTGGCAATGTATACTGATACATTCTGTGGTAAGGTTTTTACATCATGCATATACTGTTCTAATTCCTCTTGAACAAAATGGTTACTTGCACCTGAATCCAATATAAAAGTTACTTTATCCTCAGGTACCTCTATGTACTCTTCCTCTAAACCTGCTTCTGTAATTGCCTCGGTAGTTACCTCTTATATTGTTAGACCACATATTTCGTTTTGGACACTGTGCTTTAAAGTGATTTTAGTAGCCTTTGCTAGTTGTAGCCTTAAAACTAACTTCATTCTCCTGACCCCCATTTTCAGCTCTTGAATTTAACTTTATCTCTTCGTCTAAAAGTCTGGCCTTGACAAAATCAATTTTTACGTCACTTACGGTTTCTAAAGCAGTAATAACTGCGTCGAATTTCGACGGTAATGACAGCAATAAATGACAAACTCTATCACTTTCATCTATGTTTGAGCCTCTTTGGGCCATATTCTCCGTAGTTCATAAAGCCTGGCTTAGTGGAAATGATTGACTTTTTGTGTGACAAAGCCGAGCTTTTCTACTAAGCCAGGCTTTATGAACTACGGAGAATATGGCCCTTTGAGTTCTTTTATTATTGTGTCGAAATTTAGGAAATTGTCATCCAACTTCTCATTCATACACTAGTTCTCACGTTACGTTTACATGTTGATGTGTCAGAATGGCAAAAAAACTTTGGGATCTATAATAATTAGGTGCGTTTTAGGTGCTAATTAGGGCCTCTAATTAAAAATTAGGTGCTCCTCTAGTTTTTGAGAAAATCAAAAAAAAACTAAGGAATTGCTAGGTTTATGAATGCTAGTAGTCCCCTATAGTGGAAAATATTTTTTTCAAATTTCTTCTTTGTATCAGAATTAGGTGCTTTTTAGGTGCTCCTAAATAGTCGAAGAAAAAATAGAATTGATTGAATATTAACTGAGTTACAGATTTTTTTTTTATTAGTAGCGACTGCTAGTTTCCATTAATCTAGCAGTTCCTTTGTTTTTTTTTTGATTATCTCAAAAACTAAAGGAGCACCTAATTTTTAATTAGTAGCCCTAATTAGCACCTAAAAAGCCCCTAATTATTATTATTATATAGAGCCCGAAATTTTTTTTCTATTCTGACACATCACCAAGTAAAAGTGAAGCCAACAATAGGCTCGTTCAGTGAGGTTCCATTAACCACGTTTTTTGATATTTTTATGGAGTATTGCTCACATATAGCACACAAAAAAAAATTCAGCGCAATTGGGTAAATATTAAAAAAGTTATGCGGCTTTGAATAATAAAACATTATGCCTCAGAAATTCATCGCTTAGAGATGGTATGACGTCATCTCTCGAGTCAAGACGGGCTAAAGGCCGTCACACGACCAACTTGAGAGATGCAGTGACGTCACCGCGTGTTTCGAAACTTCCAAACTTGGAGCTTTTTGATAATTTATTTAAATATGAACAAGGGCTCGGAAAATTATGAAATTTTGCACAACTGCTAAACTCAATACGCTCTTTTAGAATATGTAATAAAAAAAATATGCTGAACGAGCCTATTCCCTAATAATGAAAAAAATCTGTAATTCAGTTAATAATTAACTGATTCAAGTTTTTCTTCGACTATTTAGGAGCACTTAAATAGCACCTAATTCTGATACAAAAAAAAAAAAAAATTACTATAGGGGACTGCTAGCATTCATAAACCTAGCAATCCCTTAGTTTTTTTTTGATTTTCTCAAAAACATAAAGCCAGCAGTCCCCTAATAATTAAAAAAAAATCTGTAACTCAGTTAATAATTAATCAATTCTATTTTTTCTTGGACTATTTAGGAGCACCTAAAAAGCACCTAATTTCTGATACAAAAGAAATTTTTGGAAAAATATTTTTCACTATAGGGGACTACTA